CAACTTCGGATAAAAGTTGACAAACTTTTATTCGCAATCAACTGTACGAAAAAAAATCACATGGTGGTGTTTTTCAAATTTTTTATTCGAGTAATTACATTTTAAATTCAGGAACATTTGTCGATTCTTCTCTTTAGTAAAATTGCGTTGTTGTCTATCACTAAATGAGCTAATTATTATCAAATTATGTAGGTTGCAAAAGCTAATTAACGACCATACACATTCCTGGTCGTAAAATTTTATACCTTCCCCTGTATATGGCGAAAGGGCCACATACACGGACTTTTGTGATTAGAATAGGTATTTAACTTTTTTTATAGTAAGGCAAAATTTGGGTATAATTGCATAGATATAGGAGTGCAGGGGAGCCAACAACGTGCCAAAAATTTTGACTTGGTGCCCAGGTCAGACCAAAAAGACCAAAAACACAACTACAATGATATGTGTCGACCTGGGACAGCTGCCTTTGATCCAGTCTAACCTAATGGAAGAACATCCGAATTTTAAAGATGGAAGATTAAAAATGGCGGCGTGGTTGGCTCCAGTTGTCGTCAAGCTGTGGTTCCCCCAACGGGAACAACGGAAATGTGCCTATGAGTATTATAAGTGGACTAGCATTTTATATACTTTACTATGAGAGTTATACTGCATATATTTAGTAGGTTTTAGAGTATCTTATTGTCATTCAATGCTTACAATTTACACTCGAAAGGAGGCAGTGAATTAATCTAAATGCCTTAATAAATAAAAAACAAATCACAGGTTATAATGGTAAAAAAATCACAAACATTAAGTACAATCACAAGCCCTTCTCGCGCTAATGTACAAGGCTCAGCTGTGATATTTTATTTTTTTACAATCACGAAATTGAATTAGTTAGCATAATATACAAGAGCGTATTGCTGGTTGCCGATATTTGCGGATATAGGCAACTAACAATACGGGTTGGTGTAAATGAGGTGTACGAGGGATGTGCTAGTTTTTCGGTGACTTTGCTAGTGTGGGCGGGGAAAGCGGAAGCTAGGGGAGGGGCTAAAACATTACCTATACAAGGCACTTAAGACATAATAATTTACAGGTGAAAGGCGGTCGGCCTGACAAATCTAAAAAATGTAGATTTTATCTCAAGTTTAATTATTTAATTATTTTATTCATGAAATTTTTGTTAAAAAACGGTAGAATTATTTAAAAAAATAATATAAAATAAATTTTTTGTAGTTTCACAGTCAACGTATCTAATTTCGGTAGGTGCCTTTTATCAGACTTTTTCTACTACTTTGAAAATGTATGTATAAACATCAGTGCTCTTGATCAAATCATTGAATTTAGAATATGGGTTTTTCCATTAAATTTGATCTTGACTACTCACAAGAAATTGAAGTTAAATTTACGTTGATGGAAAAGAAATACAAAAAATTGTGCATAATTGTATGATTTTTTAAATATTTAAAATTTACTTCGGTCAAATTTGTAACTCTATTTTCTAAATACAGAGTGTCAAAAATTTTATTATTTTGCTTAGTCTCTGAAAGCAATTTTTTTATTTATATAGATTTTTTGATTCATGGTATTTTACTTATATACTAAAAAAAATAACTCAAAGTTTCAAAAAACAATTAAGTAATACAAAATAAAAATAATATAAGGTGTTAAAATAAGAAACAAAGCTACGATCATTTGAATATAGCAGAATTTGATCACTTTTGGTTAGCACCCTGTATAATCAAAGGGAATGAAACTAATATCAATAGACTAAACTCTTGTTCAGCAATCTGCAAAAATGTTTTTTTTATAATCAGTATAAAAAATGCTGAAAAAATGTAAGTGAAAGCATGATTTTTCAAAATTTTGCAAAAAATTTTGTTCAGAATGCAAAATATTTTTGCCTTAATTAAATTAAAATTTATTTTTGGAAATGTTGAAGTGTCATTTTACTCGAAGATTGTGTAAAATAATAAGTTTTAAAAATTAGGTTTTTTTATCTAAAAATATTAAAACATGAGTGACACTGAACATTTTTATTATTATTTTATGAAATTTAATAGGTTTACAACTTTTTGTTTTCTTTTAATTAGATTATTATTCTTTTTTTTTTCAATTTTGATAATTTTTTAAGCAATACTTAACCTTTAGTAAAAGTATACAGGGTGTGCCAGAATTCGCGCCCTAGAGAAAAATGAGGTAAGAAACCAGGAACATGGAAAGAATGTTAAAAAAAATCATCTATAAGATTTTTGAAGTTATGAAGGTTTAAATTTTGCACTTTGACACTATTTATTTCTGTTGGAAAAATAGTTTTTCAAGTTTTTTTTGCTATAGGTTATTAAAAGAATAAAAAAGGAAGCTGATAAATTGTACCTCTGTTTAATGTTATTTGTGTTTTTTTTTTGGCAAAATTGTTGTACTTTTACTAAATAATTGTAAAAAACATATACCAGATCATCCGTATCATTAAATAGACATAAAAAATGTCAAATGTCAAAAAATAAATGTCAAAATTTTTTGACAGATAGAATTTTTTAAATATTTTTTCCATGTTTCTGGTATCTTATGTTACCTGAAATTTTTCTCTGGGGCGCGAGTTCTGGCGCAGCCTGTATATATAACATATTGCACATTGCTATGCCAAAAAAACAAATATTTTCTAAATTATGAAAAAAAATTAGAGCTTATATTTAAAATTAGAAAGTTGAATACATATAGTATAGTCCAAAATATACTATAACAATTAGAAAAATTTTAAATTTGTCAGCTTATTTATTATACTATATCTATTAGAAATAATTTAATTTTTTAACTTTTGAAATCAGGCTATAAATAACAATTCTACAGCGCATGCCATTTTTTAAAATCACCCTGTATACACTACTATAATTATTTTCCAAGTTTTTGAAAATCATTGGGAGGTTTCTATTTTACAATGTTTATGGCGAATTTTTGACAATTTTTAACAAAGCCAAATTTTTGTGATTTTTTACGTGCGACAAAAACTGTCAGATTTATTTAAAATACATTATTCTGTTTGTTTACACCCTGTATATACTTTAAAATAATTGATTGAATGAAATTGAAAAAATCAATTATCAGTCACTTTATTCTTTATTAATTTTAATAATTATAAGGCGTTTCTTTTGTAAATGTTTGTTTTAATTTTGACAAGATGTGTATTTGTTTCCACTGCGTTTTCTAAAGGTACATTTGTGAGGTTGGTCATTACCAACATTAGTCTCAAAAATCACTAAATTTCGTCAGTCGAAACTAAATGCCCGAACATGTAAAAATAAATTAAAAAATTAGATTAATGTTGGTAGGAACAAACTGAACGAAATTATAGGCCTAAAGAAAATTTAAATAAACTTGAAACGTTGCCCGAAAATGTTTATTAACCACTCGAAAACACCAAATAATTTTTTCCATATAATAAATTTTTTTGAGATCTTTAAGATGTTTTTTTTTCGGCCGACCTTTGTCCAAAGCACAATAATCGCAAGCAGGTGTTAAAAAATAGCACCCCCTCGTCACCTGTATATTCATTACGAAGTCTTTTTGTAAAATCTTGGGCACATGCTCAGTCCGAAATTTCATACCTACCTTACCCTCTACTTATGATTGAAATTGAATGAATTTGCTTAAATTGGTAACACGAGAAAACTTAATAACATTTCACAAGTCAGTAACGTTTGAACTAGTCTATGGACACCCGCACTCATCCACGACCATCTTGGGCAAGTCCCTCTTGATGATCGTCATATCAGGTCCGTAATAGATTAAACTCATACTAGAGAACTTAAGCGGCGCGCAACAAGGTTGCATACCGCTGAGGTGGTGAGTCTTTCGCACCTCCTCGATGACGTGCGTGTGGTAGGTGACGTAGGTGTCGGGCGTCCGGTGGAAGCCGCAGTCGCCGCGACAGTAGTTGGCGTGGTAGCCCTGGGGGGCGATCACCCAGTCGTCCCAACCTAACTGCTTGAAGGAGACGTAGAAACGCTGTTTGCAGCACTGATTACCCGAGTCCTCGGAGCAGTCGAGAGCGCGCCGACGCACACGTTTGGCCGACGTGGGGTCGGTGTGGACCACGAGGAAGGGCCGGTTGGGGTTGCTGCGGTGGGGAGGCTCGCTGTTGAAGAGGTGGATGCGCCAGTTGCTACAGCAGCTGCAGTCCACCAGGAGTTGCAGTTTCTCTTTGGGGGAGTCGGAGAGCCATTGTTGGACGGTGGCGGTGAGGTCGAGCTTCTGCCAGCCGGAGTGCGACTCGCGGAGGGTGAGGGAAATGGGGTCGGAGGCTAGCCGGTCAAAGTCCTGAAAAATTAAAAAAAGATAAAAGTTTGTAGAGGGTGATTCTGAATAGGAGAAACTAATTTTAAATTGCCAAAAAGATATACCGCGTTTACAACTTTTTTGAAGGTCCAACCGCAAACCGTCATTTCTAGACCCCAATAAAGAAAAGTAAACATATTTGCTCAATGCTGGGCCAGGTCCGTTTTCAGTTTTATGTTTGAGGTGGCTATAAACATATTAAAGAATCAAACCTATAATAGGTTGTAAACATGGTATATCTTTCTGTCAACTCTACATGCATAAACTTTGCCGTCTTATAATACGGTCTTTGTTTATGAAAAAATAATATGGTATGAAAAATGGACGAAATAGTCCGTAAAGAAGTACTTTTCCGGACTCATACAGGGTGTGTCAGAACTTGCGCCCAAGCAAGATAAGATACCGTAAACATGAAAAAATGTTTAAAAAATTCTATCTTTCAAAAAATTTTGACATTTGCTCTTTTTTATGTCTATTTTATTTTTTATTTCTATTTATTTAGTAAAAGTACAAAATTTTTCTCAATAAAAGCCATGTTTCCTCTTCTAATAGTCTGTAGCAAAAAACTTGGAAAATTATTTTGGGCCAGGTCCGTTTTCAGTTTTATGTTTGGGATAGTTATAAACTTATTAAAGAATCAAACCTATAGTAGGTTGTAAACACGGTATATCTTTCTGTCGACTCTACATACATAAACTTTGCCGTGTTATAATAAGGCTTTTGTCTATAAAAAAATTAATTAAGAAAATTTTTCTGATATAGTGTGTACAGTGAACGAAATAGTTCGTAAAGAAGTACTTTTCTGGACTTATACAGGGTGTTTCAGAACTAATAATAATTAATATAAATTAAAGTAATATAAAAAATGTGATCGTATTTTCAGAACGAAATTTTGTTTTGTTTTTGAGTTATGCGATTTTTTTTTGTCAAAATTGCAATTTATGTGAAATTTTTTTTTAAAGTTAAATATAAAGCAGATAGTTGTAATCCTTAGAGTATAGCTTTTATGAGAAAAATGATTTGATAGTAGGTTGCCATTTAAAAATTTTTTTTTTTGTAGAACTCAAAAACAAAAGAAAATTTCGAAAAATTTTATTCTTGTTAAATCATCACATTTTTATAGTACTTTATCACTCGTCAATTAGTTTTTTCAAAAAATAAATAGTTTAAGCAAAAAACGTTTGGTTCCATACTTTTTATTCACCTGGTATATGTTTTTCATAATTATTTAGTAAGAGTACAGAATTTTTGTCAATAAAAGCCACGAATAACGTTAAACATAGTTACAATTTAGGATACAGTTTTCTTGTTTCCTCTTCTAATAGTTTTAGCAAAAAAAACACGGACAATTATTTTTCTAACAACCAAAATAGAGTCAAAGTGCAAAATTTAAACTCACATAATTTCGAAATTTTTATAGTTTGAATGAATCTTTTTGACATTTTTTTCATATTTTTGGTATCCTACTTTACGTGGCATTTTTCTTTGGGACGCGAGGTCTCAAACACCCTGTATATTATTAATTAAAATCGTTCGTAAAGTTGCCAAGATAGTAAAGTGTGCAATTTTTAAATTTTTACATTATTTAAAGAATTACGATTTCGGAAAAAAACGCAATATACACCCAGATACTAAAGTAATTTTTTTACACTCTTCAAATTTGTGATAAAAAACAATTTTAGTGCCTTGTTTTACAACCAACTACTTTATTTTTTGCAAATTTGGATTGTTTAAAAACAAAAAAGTGGGAATTCAAGCAAATTTGAATTTTATTCTAGTTATCTCCAGATATTTCTTTTAATTTAACATTGCGCTCTCTTCATCTTTATAAGTAACATTAATAGCTTAAAAAAATTAAGATAAAAGGTTCAAATTTTGATAAAGAATAAGAATTTGAAAGAAAACGATCTTGTTATACTAAAATTTTTAGATTTTAACATTTAACTCAAATATTAKAAAAAGAAAATTAATTCGACACGCACGAATTGTTTAAAAAGTTATTCTTAAAACAATATTTTGTTAGAAAATATTGCCACTATTACTGTCATTGAGTATCTTAAGATTCGACACAAAATCTGCATTGCTTTCTAGTAATGATCAAAATTTTGGATTATCTAAACTATTTATGTAAATTTTGAATCTTTGAATTTACAAATTCTTATTTTTCTTTCAATATTTTTTACAAATTTTTTATTGTTTCTCAAAAATTGACTTTTTTTAGAATTTAGGTACAAAAATTGTGAATCTTGAACCTTAGAGGGAACTTGGGAAATCTTGTCGAAACCTAACTATTATCTCAAGATTTTATTACAAACTTTTGCGTTACGTAAAGTAAATAAATCCCTCTGATGCTGGAACCCCAAGATCTAGTAGACTTAGTATTTAGAACAATTTTTAAAATTTAAGTTTTTTAATGTTGTCTGAAACTTTCTTACGAAATCTCAAGATTTTTACCAAATTTTAAGTATGTTGACATCTTTTACAAAGTTTTTTTTTTTGATGATAATTTTTGTGTTTTGGTTTTGAGATGTAAGGATATAAAAGTTATTAGAAATTATTAGAAAGCAACTTTTCTTTGTTGTTGCTATGATGTAATTCCAAAACTAAAAAGGATAATTATGCTAATTTTTAAATTTTGCAAAAAATAGTTCATACATCACTCGTGCTTATAGCTTTATAATCATGCATTTTTCTCCTTTTGTGAATAATATACTATTATGTACCAAAAGCATAATAAAAAACGTTTAAAGCACTACACTAGGAAGCCTTAAAATCGTAATTTCTCAGAAATAATTACTATTTACAAAAGTTTGTTTTTTTCTTCATTCTTGAGAAAAATAAAGCATCTGAAAAATTTCGCGATGTTTTACTTTTAGTGTCAACTCACGACCTACACCAATTCAATATTCCTTCATCCTTTTTTTAAATAAAATTAAAAAAAAAGTTTTGTTCGAGACTATTAAAAGTTTAGTATAGTTTGAAATCTCCTGAATCCGGCATAAAATTTATGAATGGTTGTCATCTTAGTTAAAGATTTATTTCGTTCATAATTTATGTTCAACTGTTTTTGTTCGTAACTCAACAAATTTGTCGAAACTAAGCTTCTTGTAATTGTAATAATAGTAATTTGAGAAGTTTTTAACACTTTTAAACCATGTACTTGAGTATTAAGAATCCAATTACTGAAAGATCGCTTTCAAACGGTACAAAATGATAATCCTTTTAACTCTTGTATTAAGCCTTAAGGATCGATATGGTCGCTGTTATTTATAATTTATTTCCAATTTTAGTTTAGTGTACTATTAGAGTAACGTCATAATTTTGCAGGCGACATAAATAAAGTACCTTGTTGAATTAATAATCGTGACATTAAGGTAAAATTGGTTAAATTTTAATTCGACCAATGTCCTTTAATCCACGTAGATTAAAGGTGATAGTAATCCGAGCTTTTTGTGTTGTCTATTAAATATTTATTGTTATTTCTGATATTTTTTGAGCCTTAATGTTGACGTATGTAATCATCAAAACTTTGGCAAACAAAATCACATTTATGGTAGATAAATTATGAAAAGTGTTGGCCACGTTTCAAATTTTAAGTTAGAAAACACAATGTAGGTCAAGGTGGATCCCCTAATTTGATGAGAATTTTTACTACCTGTGAACTAATCGTGACTGTTTCTGGTAGACGCGATATGATTTTGAAGACGTAAATTTCCGTTGATCTGCATTGGCTTGGTCGACGATGTCTGATGTCAGCTTTAAGCCACAACGTGGCCGTCCTAACCCGGAATTCCTGGCCCGCTTGTCCGGATTCCGGACTTACACGGAATTCTAACAGTCTATTCTGGTTTACCCTGGACCCTGAAACAGATTTATGGGATTATTGGCGAGCCACTGCAGTGCATATGCTATTTTGAAAATGATGGATTTGCTGAAACCACACACGAGGGGGGTTGGAATTTTATCTTGTAGTCAAGGGATACTTTTCACACAACTGAAATATTAGAATTTTTTTTAATTCGACACGTACGAATTGTTTAAAAATTTATTCTTAAAAAAATATTTTGTTAGAAAATATTGCCACTATTACTGTCATTTGGTTACAATTCTACTATTTTGAGAACAAAGTTATATTTAATAGAGTTAAGTTAAAAAACTAGAATACCATAAAATAAATACTGATAAAGTATTTTTTATTAAGGGTGAAAGAAATAAACTATATATACATTAAACAAAAATAATTTATTTTGTTAAAACTTGCAATATTTTAATTTAATTATGGTTATTCTTCAAATTTGTGATAAAAAAACAATTTTAGT